CTCAGAGCCATTTCGGATAATACCTTGCACGGAACAGGTAGAAAAATAGATGCAGATTCCGGTGGATTGAAATTGCAATTGACGCGAGACGCAGAGACGGCAGCGCCGCTAGATTGCTACGTCTTTATCGTCGCAGACGCCCAACTAAACATACGGGAAAACAGACTCGTCGGAGTAAACTATTAATGCTGATAAATAAAAATATGTTTCCCAAAGAGGCACACTGCGCTCTGATAGTCGGAGCGACAAATTGCGGAAAGACGGTTTACGCGTTAAATCTGCTCGAGACGGAATACAAGGATTTCTTTAAAAACATTGTATTTATCTGTCCGACGTTTAACGTCAACTCGAGTTATAGGCGCGCGTGGATAGAGCTAGACGAAAACGTCTTTTCGATCGACCCCGGCGAGTCTCTGGACGATTGTCTGACGCATCTCTGCAACAAGTTTGACGACGGCGCCGAGACGCTGTTCGTGATCGACGATTGTAGCAGCAACAAGGACATGAAGAGAAAGCAGCAGACGCTGTCGACGCTCGCCTTTTCCGGTCGGCACCACAAGAAATCCGTTTGGATTCTTACCCAAAAGTACAATTCCATTCTCAAAGATTTTAGAGAGCAGGTTCGATGGATCGCGCTCTTTTTCTGCAAAGACAGAGACAGTTTTTACGATTGCCTGCGAGAGAATGACGTGATAAAAGATGCAGACGAGAAAAAACGCATCAAAGACAAGATTGACACGACGTGTTTTAGCAAGTTGTTGTTGAAATGCGATAGACCGACTCGTTGGGGGATTCACATCGGATAAATATATTTATATTTATTAAAATGACCGATATAACGCACGAGATGCAAGCGCACGCAGAGCGAGCCAAGAGCAAGACCGAACCAAAGACCGACCCGCCCGCGCAAGCGCCTGCGAAAACAAAGCGTAAACCCAAAAAGAGCGAGTCAAAACCCTCAAAGACGGTCGAGTCGACCGAGTCAACCGAGCAATCGCTTACACCCGAGCAAGCTCGAGACATTTCCAACGAGCTAAAAGACCGAATAAAGTCTGTCGTGAGCGGAGGTAACGCGCAATACTACTTTGGACAAGAATATACCGTAGAGCAAATCGAGTACATGTCCGAGTCGGAAATTTCCAAGTTGTACGCAATGCTAGAATCTAAAAAGGGTAGTGACGTGACAAAATCACTCGGTAGTAGCGTGATTCACATGTACGCCAAGACTATCGGTTATATACTTCCAATCGATTCGACAGAGCAACTTGGTAACGATCTCGAAAACGATCGGTTCTTGATGGAAGCATTGAATCCCGTTGCGTGCGAGCTCTATTATAAATTTGGAGCATGGCTCGCACCGATTTCGGTCGCGATGCACACGGCAAGACACGTGAAATACGAACGATCGAGCAGTAAGCAAGAGGTTTTAAACGCAACCCAAGACCCCGAGAAATCTACGATTACTGACTTGCCCGAGTAATTACCGAGTAAAAAAAAATTACCAACATTTAATAAATGGACGAAACGATTACGCAAGTCACGAAAAAGAATCCCAGCGAGTTGCGGCCGGTAAAGCAATTGCCGAGAAACGACGACAAGCCTCGGACGCATCGAGTGTTTATAACGTAACGTTTTCGAGTTGTATTCCATATCTAACGCTTGTCGCGTTGGGGTATCTAGTCTACAATGCATTTACAAAGCCAAGTGTATCCACTCTGGTTAGGACGGCAAAGCCGGCAACGCCGGCAAAGCCGGCAACGTCGGCAAAGCCAGCAAAGCCGGCAACGCAAGATCCGTTTGAAATGTAATTAAAAATTCTCTTTTTAAAAAAAAGTATGAGTGGCATCGATACAAACGAAATTGTAAACAGCTTGTACGGCGGAGCGGTTGTGGCTACGTTGACGGTCGGTTACGTAATGATACTGAAAAAGGTGACGGGAAGCAAAGCACCGCTCATAGACAAGCTGACTATTGCCGATACGGCAAAGCTCGCGGGTCTAATAGCAGCTTCAACGCTGACCAAGGACATGCTGGTGGCTAATGGCTACATCCCCGATAAGATTATTAAATAAATACTTTAATTAAAAAATGGCAACCGTAGCAATGATGGTTGGCGGTGCGATCGTAAACGCCCTAGCTTTTAGCGGAAGCAACTTTTTTTTTAGTCGCATGAGCGGTAGCGACGAGGAACGGAAACGGCACGATTTAGCCTTGGAACAATTGTCTCAGGCTCGAGATTCGTGGAATAAAAAACGAACCTCGCAACTCGATTATCTCAACGAAAAACTTGGACGCGAGCAGCATGCCGAAAGAACCTTTTCGGACGTTGAATCTGCAATGAGAGAATACTATAGAATGGGTGGAACGCCCGATCGCCTACAACTCGAGCGAGAACCGCAGCTGACCGACTTTTATACACCTAGCGAATCGCAGCAAGATGCAGAGCTGATCGGTTTGGTCGCTGTATTGAGCATTATCGCGTACGTGTCTATAAAATATTTATAAGTTTTGCGTAAAAAACTTGTAAATATGAGTACGAAACGCGAAATACGCAAACTCGAACGTGCATACTACGCTCCTCAACATTTATGGCAGGGTGAGGGGGCCATCGATCAACTCGTCGCCAAGACGAAGATATCGCGGGATGTTGTTAAAGAGTGGCTGTTTAAACAGAGCATGTGGCAAATTTATCTTGCACCACCTAAACACGTACCGAGCGTACCGACGAGGCAAAGCGTCTCGGTAAACCAAGCCCATCAAGCCGACCTACTCTTTTTACCGCACGATAGGTATAGAGGAAAAACGTACAAGTATGCCTTGACGGTCGTCGACGTGGCGAGTAGATACAAGGAAGCGGAACCATTAACGACCAAAAAATCGTCAGAGGTTGCACGAGCCTTTGACAAGATTTATGCGCGTAAGTTGACATGGCCCGAAACGTTACAAGTCGATTCGGGTAGTGAATTTAAAGGTGAAACGTTAAAAGCTATGAAGGGGCATAATGTACGTGTGAGCGTGGGAGTACCCGGTAATCACAAATCGCAAGGAATCGTCGAAAGGTTCAACAAGACTCTTGCCAGCAAACTGTTTCCGCATCAGTATGCGCGAGAAATGGTGGATCCAACAAAACGCAACGTGGAATGGGTAGAAAATCTAAGACCCGTTTTGGACGTGTTAAACGCTCAAGGTCCCGACGAGGCCGTACGTAGGCGAGACGAAATTAAATACGAACCCAAGTATAATCGACCCGTTGGATTGGATGAGCAAGTCTTGGATTCGAGCTTGCGCGTACGATACCTGTACAGACCCGGAGAATTGGAAGGGGGTGAAAGACGTAGAGCTACCGATCCGATATGGAGCATCGATACGTACGACATACGAAACGTCATGATCAAACCCAAACAACCCGTCTTGTATTTTTTACAAGGCGTACCGAGGAGTTTTGTACGAGAAGAATTGTTGGTCGTTCCCTTTGACACGCAATTACCACCTAAATGAAAATGGTTTTAAGGGAAAACACGTTGTAATAAAAATGATGCAAAATTCTTGTCGTTATCTCAGGATGGGTTCGACCGAATTGTGTGGAAAAGCAATATTGAAGCATCAAGACTCGCTACCCGAGCATCTACGCGGATATTGCCGCGGCCACAAGTTTAGAATCATGCGAGGTGGGGGTACAGTTTCGTGCGAAAAATGCGGTAGGGGTTGTAGGACTATACTACACAATATTTGCTATAGATGCGGTGGACAAGTTGTAAGCAACGCGATACTCTTAAAACGTCGATCGCCTAGTCGACGCGTTGAGGGTGATGATGTAAACGGTTGTCGTTATCTCAAGATGGGTTCGACCGATTTATGTCGCAAGATTATCCACCGAGATCAAGACTCGCTACCCGATCATCTAAAGGGGTATTGCGCCTATCACAAGTATAGGATAATACACAATAGCAAGATATTTCCGTGTAACGTATGCGGTATAGGATGCAAGGTTACAATTAACGGCGTGTGTAAAAAGTGTGCATCTCGTAAAGTGGTTACGACCCAGTGAATTGCGAAATACAAATGTATTTCGTAATATTTAAACTGACGTGCGCCCTCTATCGGCGTATTTGTAATTTTTAATTCTGACTTAAGGGGTAGACTATATAATTAAAATGAGCCTATACAACAATCGAGAACGTGATAGACACGAGTATCGAGATAGACACGAGTATCGAGATAGACACGAGTATCGAGATAGACACGAGCATCGAGATAGACGCGAGCATCGAGATAGACGCGATAGACGCGAGCATCGAGATAGACGCGAGCATCGAGATAGACACGAGCATCGAGATAGACGCGAGCATCGAGATAGACACGAGCATCGAGATAGACGCGAGCATCGAGATAGACACGAGCATCTAGATAGACGCGAGGAACGCAAGCAACGCGAGGATCGAGATAGACACGAGGAACGCAAGCAACGCGAGAAACGAGATCAGTGGGAACTCGAGGAACGCAAGCAACGCGAGAAACGAGATCAGTGGGAACTCGAGGACCGCAAGAGACGCGAGAAACGAGATCAGTGGGAACTCAAGGACCGCAAGAGACGCGAGAAACTCGATCAGTGGGAACTCGAGGACCGCAAGAGACGCGAGAAACGCGATCAGTGGGAACTCGAGGACCGCAAGAGACGCGAGAAACGCGATCAGTGGGAACTCGAGGACCGCAAGAGACGCGAGAAACGCGAGAAACGCGAGAAACGCAAGCAGCGAAAACGCGAGAAACAACAAGTTTTAAATCCAAGTGGAGAAATGCAAGAAAGGGCAGAACGTGAATTGGAACCCTTAAACCACCAATCTAGATTTGATCGTATTCGTGCGAGTGAGACGCACGAAACTCATCGGATAAGCCTAACACGTTTTGTCGATCCACGCGTAATCTTACAATTTAGGGATCGTATCGAGGAAATATTACACAATCATCGTTTCGGAGGTATCAGATATCGAGTTCGGGATGGCACATAAATCATCTCGTGCATCTAGATATAGCGATTGTCAGGTATAACCCCTTACGCGGTGGTGCGTACGCTCGATTACCCAACGTGCTGAAAAATAAAAAGGCAATCGTCAACGTTAAAAACAAAGACGACTTGTGTATCAAATACGCCATTGCCAGCGCGCTTCATCCCGTCAAGGACCATACCGATAGACCCTCGAGTTACGCTCAGCATCTAGACGAGCTCGACTGGAGCGGTATCACGTTTCCCACGCCGACCAAACAGATTAAAAGGATTGAAAAGAATAATCCGCGGCTCAAGATTAACGTTTATGGCTGGGAAGAAGAGGGTAAGGGGTATTTACATCCGGTCTACGTCGACGGTGAGCACGAGGGTCGTACGCTGATTAATCTCTTGCTGTACGGTAAACATTACATGTGGATTAAAAAGATGAGCCCGCTTCTCAGCGGTTATAATAAACACAAGGGGGAAAAGCATTTATGTTCGCGATGTATGCACGTTTTTAGTAAGAAAGAATGTTTGCTGAAACACGAGCCCGATTGCAAGGGTGTAAACGACGGTATAACGGTGGTGCAAGTCGTCGATGAAAAAAAAAAGACGTTGAAATTTAGAAACGTTAAACATAGAGCCAAGACGCCGTTTGTAATCTATGCAGATTTCGAGTGTATTTTGGAAAAAATGCCGACAAACGCCGACGAGTCTGACCCGAAAACGTTTAAAAATAACAAACACGTGCCGTGCGGTTGGTCGTACGTGGTGGTAAGGTACGACGGTCAAGTAGTCGGACATGAATTACATAGTGCTAATGCTGAAAATGCATCAATGTGCGTAAAATCCTTTTTGGATAATCTCGTGATTGAAAAGGAGAAAATTATCGACATTTTCAAGCAACAACCCGTCAAACCCCGCAGCGTAATGACGTCAGAGGATGAAGCAGACTTTGAGGCCGCAACGACCTGTTGGATTTGTAATCTAGGTGGTTTTACGGAATATAGTGGGGTCGGTGACTGTTGGAAATGTGCCAAGGTCAAGGCAAACCCCGACAATAATTTCAAGACGTGTTTTGAGTGTATGACAAAAAAGAATGGGCAAAAGGTGCGAGATCATTGTCACGTTACCAACACGTATCATGGAGCGGCTCACGCGGGTTGCAATCTCAAGTTAAAGGTAGATGAGCATACACCCATACCCGTAATATTTCACAATCTGGCTGGGTACGACGCCCACTTGATCATGCAGGCCCTCGGAGAGATGCAGGTTCCGAGCAATACGGAAAAGTACATTTCCCTTAGCTTGGATAACCTCCGATTTATCGATTCGATGAAATTTCTAAACACCTCATTGGCACAACTAGTTGCCAAGTTACCGATCGACGAGTTTAAGCTTGCCAAGACATTTTACGACGAGGATGATTTGGAGCTAGTCACGAGAAAGGGTGTATATCCGTACGAATACATGGATTCGTTTAGCAAGTTTGATGAAGTGGGTTTACCCAGTAAGGAACCATTTTACAGCAGCCTGCGCAACGAGGGTATAAACGACGAGGACTATGAGCATGCCACGAGGGTTT